GATGCAAAAACTCTCAACAAAAATAACACATTGAATCCACTGAATCTATTTTTTTCACACTGCTTCATGTCACTTGGAAGAAAAATATATGAACAACTTTGTAAGTCATGGTCATATAGGTGCAGTTCCATTTGCAGTCTCCAGAATTCCAGCTCATTGGATCTGCTTGACATCTTTGTCTTCTACCATTGTACCTGCTGTCCCATACTGAGAATATCAAGTGATTTGTTTAGATTTCAGTGCTTAAATTCCAGGAGTGACCACCATTGCCAGCACAGTTTTGTCCATGTGAGCTTGCAAGTAGATAATAACCAATAACAAGGACAAGGTTGAGGCAAGTGTCTCAGATGCAAATTTTAAGGGATCACTCAAAAACTCTGTAGTAAAGATAAATTTGTTTAATGCAATATTCTTTAAAAATGAAATTCAATGAAAAAGTCCATGAAGAACTAAATATCAAATTTCAAAATAATGATAGGTACCATGCTGCCCTTGTGTATACTGGCTTCAATGACCTCACCCTAATCACAACTATGTTGAGTATTGCCAAGTTTATTGCTTCCTGTTTTTGATGAGAAAAACTTGACCATGTCTCCTCTACAGTTCTTTCCTATGATGCTCCTTGAAGGGCAAAGAGCAACAAAATTTCTAGATCCAATACTGTTGGCATCATTAAATTCAAGAATACTGTAGAAAACTCTCTTAGTTTGCAAATATGACCTTCTATATATACTATATTGCAAATGCCAGCTTTATTACATACATTCATCCATTAAACTAAACAGATATCTTAATGTGGAAAACATAAGCAAAATATTTACTCTGGTATACATCTCTGCATGCAATGCATCTTCACCATCTACTTCACTACTCCCAGACACACACACACACACACACACACACACACACACACACACAAATACACAAACATCCTGGGTGGGAGCAGCTATAGAGCTCTAAAACTAATTGAGTGATCACAATTCATGTATTGTGGAACATTTTTCTTGAGTTTTTGACTCTGCTGGTAACTGGATATAATACTCTTTTTAAGGGAATCCAGATCAGTCTAAGAAAAAGTATTAATGCTTTTGGGATGCCTTTAAGTTCTACACTTTACCATTTGTAAAGCAAGATGAGAAGTAATATGGCCTATTTAAAAATCATTTCAGTAAATAAGAAGTTCTTTGGGATGAATGCAAATACATATGCTGTTTGGAAAAATTAAGAAAAAAGGCCAAACTCAAAAGTAATTACTATTAATTACTATATTAATAGTAATATATGTTTCTATTATTTAATATTCAAATTATTATCATCTTGAAATTGGCCATGAATGGTTCCAAATGATAGGGTGTACCCCTGAGGATTTGGTACTACTGAGAATAGTTTTGAGGAAATGGTATTTGTTGTTCTCCAGCTTATTAACATTACAAATAGAAAACCAACTTCTGACACTGCTACAATTCACCAAACATTTTTCTACAGAGTTAGGGATTTGATTCTGGGCCTTGTGCATGCTAGGTAAGTATTCTGTCACTATACATCAGCCTCTAGGCTTTTTTTAATCACCTGAGGCAGAAAGTACATGATAAAAGTGATCACTACTTGAAACATCAAAAGCATAGACATAGGGGATTTAGCTCAGTGGTGTGGCTGCCTGCCTTGCAAGTGCAAGGTTCTGAGTTCAATCCCTGGTACTAAAAACAAACAAACAAACATAGACATAGCTAATCCTCATATTTAGGTCACTTTGCTATACTTCTCTTCCCTTGACATACGAAGGGAACATCTAGGTGTAGAAAAAAATCCACTAAAATACATGTTAGTAGCAAGTGTGTTGGATAAAATGAATGTTCTAAGGGTGATTATGAAGAGGAAATAGATATTACAAGCCCCATTGTTCTTATTTCTCATTGTGTAAGGAAGAACCAGCAATGATCTCCACTCCAGATAGTCTGCTTTGGCCTCTGTACCCATCATTTCCCTTTATAAGCTACAGTCTTCAGAAATTCAGCATCAATGTTGAGTTACCATTGTTACCTAGCAGCATTTCACAGACAAATACCTGGCTGTTCAGAATAATTGAGCTAATATGGCTTCCCTGATAGTAAAACACAAGTTTTGTAAATTTTGTGACTATACACACACACACACACACACACACACACACACACACACTCTGATAAGAACTATGAAGGAAAACTGATTCCCTTATCTTTATTTTTTATTTTTTATTTTATTTTGGTACTGGGGATCAAACTCTGGTCCTTGAGCTTGCGCAACAGGCGGTGAAACCACTGAGCTAAATCCCTGGCCTGATTCCTTTATCTTTAAATCACTAGCGTTGGTGAATAATGACATCTGTAGACATTTGTTTTCCTCCATGTATTCTGGGGAGGTCATATATCTCCTACCCTCATAGTACTTTTGAAAAAAGTGGGAGAATTCAAATTATTAAACATACAGGCACACACACACACACCTACATCCTAGCCCCAACTTTCTATAAGCCCATCAAGATTTCTAAAGTTTGAGCCAGATATAACATGTCAGTTTATGGTGATAAAAAAGAACTTTTAAGCAGGGCGTGCTTAAAGCAGGATACATGCCTGTAACCCCAGCTACTTGGGGTGCTAAGGTAGTATTTCCAAGTTCAAGGCCAGCTTGAGCAACTTAGTGAGACCTGCCTCAAAATAAATAAAATGAAATGAAACAAAATCAAGTTGGAGATTTAGCTTTGTGGTAGAACACATACTTAACAATATAAGGTATGATTGAAAAATATAGTGAACACTTTAACATCAAATTATTAGATCCATGGCCATGAATCCCTCTCAAAATATTCCCCCTTGCTTCAAACACACTTATCCCATTGCTCTTGTCACTCCAAGCAGTTCTAGAATTCTTTTGTGAGAGTCTTTATGAGGAATGTTAAAAAACGTATAGTGACTGCTGTTGCTGAGTGGTCATCCAATGAAAAGACAAGCTTGTAAAAATATTTTGGTGTGTCTTCATCCACCTTATTCCCCCAATCTGGCACTGTGCAACTTCTGCCCCTTCCCTTAAGCAAAAATGACCATGAAAGGTAAAGTTTGAAACAATTCAGGACATAGAGGCACCAAGGACAGTGGAACCAAAGAGGCTCACAAAATAGGACTTCTAGGACTGCTTCAGAAAGTGGCAAGAACAATGAGGTGCTTTTGAAGGGAGGGGGAGGGTGTTTTTTGCAGGAATTAATGGCACTGTCTTTTATTCTAAAAATGTAAAAATATTAAACATCCACCATATTTATCCATCACAACTCTTATGTCAAGTTTAATTCCCAGTACTTGAAAGAAAAAATTTTAAAGGCTTTTGGTTATAGGAAGCTGGTTTTCCCTATGTGTGGAGAGCTGCTTTTCAAACAGAATGAAACCACCAGGTAGAAGTAGAAAAAAGAACAGATGGGATAGAGATCATGTTTCGTCAAGTCCCTGTTTCTAATTATTTTTAAGACCTTACTCTTTAGTCAGCTTTGATTTTCAAATATATCTTAAATTATCCTGTTATACTCTGAATAAGTTTTGCTCCCTACCCTCCTTGGTCTAGCTTGAACTGAGTTTCTGTTGATTGCAATCAATACAATTTAGACTGACAGAGATCTTTCTGGTTACCACATTTTCTTGCCATGAAGTATGAATTTATAAAAGTGTGTGTTTAAAACACAATTAGAAGGCTGGGGATTTAGCTCAGTGGTTTTGCCACCTGCTGCACAAGCACAAGGACCCGATTTCAATCCCCAGTACCAAAAACACAATTAGAGGGCCAGGGATTTAACTCAGTGGTTCTGGCGCCTGCCTTGCAAGTGCAAGGTCACGAGTTTGATCCTCAGTACCAAAAAAACAAAACACCACTCCAAAATACCACAATTACATATGCAGAAGAGCATATGGTTTTTTAAACATGATTATGAAATATGAAATGTAGTAACATTTGAGGATTAATATCTGGGGACAAGCTAGTTGAGTTTAAACAGTTCCTTCAAGAAATAGTACTCAAGACTATCTTTAACCTTTATTCTGTGGGTCTGTCAAAATTAGGGATGACTGACATCCTGGAAAATGTCAGCTTTTTAACTCTTGCCAGAGTGAAAAGAATTTCCAGCCAGAAAGAGACAGAACTTAATCAAGAGATTTTACATGTCTTTTTATTTCTAGTCAAATTTAATGTCCAAACAATTCTGTTTCTAGAACTATCAAGTTGTACAATTTCAATTATTTAAATATCCCTAGTTCTTGATTTGCTTACTTACAACTGAGAGAACATGAAACAGAAGGTGCCCATAGACTGTGGTAAAACTTGTGCTGTAATTTTCAGCCTACTGATACAGCAATTAGGACAATATTCTGATTATTTTTGGTTGTATTTCCCAACAGATTCAAGTTCTAACGTGGAGTATTCCAGTCAGGCCATTATCTAGTAAAATTTACATTAACTACATCCAAAGTAAACTCTCACTGAATGCTTGTTTGGGATAAAAGATCTAAGTCTCTCCATAAATAGTTTAGGAATACTAATTCCTACATTCCACACAGCTGTACCTAAATTTTGGGCCACTATAGAAAAGCATTCCTTTTCTTTTGCTTTCCAATACCACTTTACTCATTTCTGAGCCCTTATTAGCAGTAACTTTAACAACTGTATTTCTTCCCAAAGTCTGCTCTAAATGATTTATCTATTCTATAAGGATTTATGTTTACTATACTCCTTACTTCCCGCTGAATCCTCACTAGCAGAGTTGTGAACACCACATTTCTACTAATAGTCTGTCCAAAGCAATCTAGGTTTTTCTATCACACTTTTCTAAATTCTTTAACTCTTTTTTTTTTTTGGTACCAGGGATTGAACTCAGGACCTTGCACTTGTGAGGCAGGCGGCAGCACCATTGAGCTAAATCCCCAGCCCACACTTTTCTAAATTCTTCCAGCCCCTGCCTACTGCCCCTTTCAAAATCCACTTCCTTTTTTTTTTTTTTTTTGGTACGAGGGATAGAACTCGGGTCCTTGCGCTTGCACGGCAGGCGGTGAAACCACTGAGCTAAATCCCCGGGCCTCAAAATCCACTTCTATATCTTTAGGTATTTGTTACAGTGGTACCCCAGCTACCAAAATCTGCATCAGTCAGGATTTAACCAGAGGAACAGAGCCAATAGAAGATATATACTAAGATTTTTTTTTTTTTGGTACCGGGGATCGAACTCAGGTCCTTCCGCTTGCAAGGCAGGCGACAGAACCACTGAGCTAAATCTCTGTCCCCACTAAGATGTTTATTGTAAAGAAGTGACATCCAATTGTAGAAGGTGGCCGGACAGATCCAACACCTGTATGTCGGATAGTAAGGAATGGCAGGTTGGAACACTAAGGCACAAACTGAACCTGCTGTCCTTTGGCAGAATTCCATCTTAGGGAAGACTCATTTGAGCCTTTAAAACCTTTCAACTTCTTGAACCAGGCCACCCCAATTATCCATAATAACATTAAATGAGGTGATTAGCAACCTAAACTCCATTTACAGTTTAATTTCTCTTCATGATGTAACATAATATATTTAGAAGTTCTACCTAAAATATACCAATAAAAGAACTTAAGAATAAAAAAAAATTTAGAAGTTCCAGAAATTAGAATGTGGACATCTTTGGGGATAGGCATTATTCCTCAAAATAATTTCTCCAAATCATTCAATTCCTTCATCAACATATTCTTTAATAAATTTGTTTAGGGCCAGGGATTTGGCTCAGTGGTTCTGCCGCCTGCCTCGCAAGCACAAGGTCCTGAGTTCGATCCCCGGTACCAAAAAAGAAATTTTTTTTTCATTTGGTTAACTTCCAGGAGCAGCATGTACTACAATGTATTTTTAAATTTTTATCAAACAAAAAATATAGGCATTCAAAAGTAAGTAAATATTAGCATGCTGTAACATCAGAAGCTCTTGTAATTCCAGAATTTTGAGCTCACTTGAGAATTTCCCTTCAATAGCAAGGGACAATTGCAAAGAAAAAAAAATGCACCACTTGGTCATTTAGGCCTCATAGAACCAATTGGCTCTGTAGGAACTTCTTAAATATGGTCAATCTTTGTAACAGTAAAGCACCTGTCAAGCACTTTATCAGTATCACAACTTGAGTTAGAGATAAGGAAGAGCCCCCCAATTTTTCTACATTGATTAGATGATAAATAATAGTTGATGCAAATATATTTTCATGAGACACCATGTATTTTAAAGTAAAAGTCTAATGTTTACAAATGTGACACTGAAATAGTCTGAAATTATTCTTGTTGCTGCTTAATGAAAATCCAAATTAAAATTGTTTCAAGAGATCTTGAAAGAAACTGGACATGAATGAATATGAACTGATTACATCTCAAACAGAAACAAGGTTATTGAAATGTCACAACTGGGTTAAAAACTAAAGCCTTCTAACGTTTTAAAATAAAGCATAACAAAAGAGCAATCTTACATTTTATGTAGTTTTGCATACTGGGAAATATATTTTAAATTAGAATTATGTTTACTAGACGGGGTTAACTTTCTTCAGGAATTAATACTAAAAATTTAATCCGAAATATGAAATTTCCTGATAGAAAACACTACTAATAGAAATGATATACAGCAGACCAAAAAAACATACTAAGAGAGAATAAAGTAAAAAGAAGGATGAGAGATGATTATAAAGATAAAAAAAAAAAAGTGAAAAGCAAAGCAGACAAAACTAACATACCAAGTAAGGAGATTCAGATGCCTAAATTATTCTGAAAAGCTGAACTACCATCTGACTTTCTCCCAGAATCTTGGTCCAGAATCTTGGGGAAAATAGGCTTCAAGAATTGGAACTCATTATTATGAGAGTCTCCCATCAGACACACCTCATAGCGGTAGCTGTGGGACAGGGTCCCCGTGCCGCTGACGTCCCCCAGGGGGCCCGGGAAGGGGCCCTCGGGCGCCGAGCCCCGACCCAGCGCGGCCGGCCCGCTCCTCCTGCACAGCCGCAGCGCCACGAAGAGCAGCAC